TCCCAGTGATTTCATACCTGGGCCAGAAGCAAGTCTTAAATGAACCAGGAAATTACATGGAAAAAAGGGGAAATATGTTATAGTGCTCCTTCAATTGTCCCATGGAGTGTTCAATGGGGTATCACCACCTTACTCACTCCCAAGCACCAGTTCACATCATTTCAGTCATAAAACTTGGTGTTTTTCAAGTCTGCATGATGTCGTTGTAGCCTGCATGGCTTTGGGATGTGCTTCTCTGTCACTTAGGCATGCTTTTGTCTTAAGAGTTCACAAAATGCTGGCAAAGCAAACAATGACCAAAAGCTCAGATTGCCCAGGGCTTTCCCCTAGCCTCAAGCAGAGATGAAGATGGGTGGGCCTGCCCACAAGATGACTGAGGATGTTAGAGCGAGGTTGCTCATGTGCCAAACAGCTGCACGGTGGGTCAGACCCCTCACACCAACAGCCTTTTTGGCACTCTTTGGGGTCACTGTGGGGCTCCTTCTCTGGCTGAGGAAAGCTGCATTTGAAGTGCCCACAACTAATTCTCTTGGCTCCTGCAGGGTGAGAGCAAAGTTGAGTAACTGCAACTGGTGGTACTGGTAATGTCAGAGATAAGGCTGGCTGGTGAGAGGTGGCTTCACCTGGGAAGACAATACCAGTGCTGCAGAGCGATTCCTGGTCCTGGTCCAGTGCAGGTTCAAATGGAAAGACTCAGTGTTGACCTGGGATGTAATTTTGCAGCTAATATTTAGAAATAAAGCAGGAGGCAGGTCCCAAACCCTGGATAAATCGTCAGGTGCTGTGCTTTAGCTGAAATGTTGAGTATGCTCTGCTGAGGGTGTCAAGTGGCAAAATGACAAGATGAGGTCAATGGGATCAGTTTTGTTGGCTGTATGTTTTCCCCTATGACAAGATACAGTCCCTCACCCTCGGTGATTAAGGGACAGCAGATTTTCAGATTTAGAGTGCTGTGTCCTGGGAGATAGCTTGTAAAACTGATTTTTAAAATGCTATAAATGAATGGATTTATGTATATGATTTTCCCAAATGATTTTTTTTTAACCAGAGGAAAGAGCAAGTGTGGTAAGTCTGAGTGTACCTCATATGCAACTGAGGGATTAAAATATGTGCTTCAAATGTAAATGACAACTGAACCCAAGTTACAAACGGATGAGCAATCCTCCCTTAGCGTTGCTGGTGCTGCTGTAAATCTTTCAGCCGAAGCTTGCAATACAAAGGAGCAGGTTGCGCACGGTGCTTTTTAGAGTTGATCAGACAAGCCCAGCCCAGCCTTGCCCTAAGTAAGAAGAGGTCACAAAAGTAGACTCACTGTCTTCACAGCACTGGCAATACTTTTATGTACGTTCTAGCTCCTTTTGTCTCAGGGCCATGCATTTCTAAAAAGGCTTTAACTAAAGAAAAAGAGAAAATACAAACCTTTAAGCCACCATAAGTAAAAGACTTTAAGTCATTCTGTAACTATTTCTGGATTTGTCCCAAAAGTGCTGAATAATTTGTCTGGGGGAAAAAACACAATTAAGATTTGTGGGGCAGAAGCTGGTGGTTTGCCTTTATCTCCTATCAACCAACGGAGCAAAACCACTCACCTGGAGTACAGAAGAGCTGGATTCACTGTTGGGAGGGGGTCAAATCCATATTTCTCACCCCACAATAGGGTATCCTAAGCACACAGTTTTGGACTTGCCTGGTTTCAATCGTTTGTGTTGTACTCACCATGTCATGTGAAACATTTAAACACTTGTAGAGCCAGAGAGCAAAGAACGCTTTTCTACCACCCTAATGTGAATCCCTCTTGTAGGAGGTTACGCATAACTCTGGTCTCTTACTTCCATGCTGATTTTTTTTTTTGCATTAAAGTGAAATATTGTTTCCAGAATAATGCTATTTGAATTCCCCAAGACAGATACAGGAGTTGAAATCAACTTTTCCTGTTTCATGAATGAATTTCCTAGTAAGTGACTTTTTGGATAAAAATATGCTAAGGTAATTTTCTGGGTGAACCTATTCTTTGTGCCTCAGTTTGCCTTTATAATTTTATAACAGAGGATAAGAGAGCAATACTGGACTATGAGTTATTTGGCCAGTTGGTAATAGGGGGAAGCACATGATACTGTAGTTAAAGGAGATAGGATTGCTGTTGCCGTGTACCATCTGCTGGGCTGCAGGCTTGTGGCAGGTAAGCCTTAGGAAGTGAAGTCCCTGTGCTATATACCTGAATACTTTCATGCTTCTACAGTTACAGGATACTTGGACTAGTAGCCACAGGGTCATTAAATTGCAGTTCAATTACTTGTACCATTTTAGCTTTGTAAATGAATGTGATGGGTTGGAAAATTAAGGTTTGTACTCCTGGGAGAAGCTGAACAGATGGAAACGGTGGGTCAGTAAAAGAACCTCACATTCGTTATTGTCCTGTCTGGTGGGAGAGCTGGGGCTGGTTACAGAAGAAGCCAGAGTTGTGTGTGGAGAGAATGCAGAGGTAGGTTGTTCCAGTTAGGTAATCGCTAAGTTCTTGTACTCGCTCCCCATTGCCCTTGACTTCTCAGGGCTGTTTTCACCTCCTGCTATCATCCGGTCCATCGGCACTGACCTCTTTTGCGGACCTGTGTTCAGTGTACCCTGAAAATCCCAGTAATATAGTGACTGCTGCCTTTCCCATGTCCACGCTGGTGTTCATATCCTCGATGAATTCCAGCCAGTTAATGAGGCGTGCCTTTCCCTTCCAGAAACCACAGTGCCACTACTTAACCCCTTGCCTGCTATCTTTCCCAGCACCCCAGGGGCTACGCAAATAAAGCGAGCTCGCTTAGCAGTTGTACTGCCAGGATGTAAAGCGTATGCTTGTGGTGCTGTGGGGAATCTGAATTTCCTTTTGTGCTGCATAGACTCTCTCAAGTTTCTGGAGGCATCACAAGCAATTAATCATCTTAGACTGGCCCAGAAATCCTGCTTACGATCATTACTGAGGTCTCCATCATAGTGAAATTTTAATAATCCGATCTGAGTTTCTAGTGTCCTTAGATACCCGTCCCAAAAAATTCTTGATGTTGCTTGCTTTTCTTTGTCCACTCATTAGAATTGATGCAGCTTGCCCCTTCAAGTAATTTCCCCCTTTTTCTCTTTGTCTATTGGTCTACTTCTGTGGTTGTCCCAAGGACTGTCACTTAAGTGTAATTCGCTAAAAAAGCAATAATGGCTTTGGTTCATTACACTGCAGCTCACCACTATGCTGCAGTGTGTGTGCGTTTGCCACACTCTTGGTTTGGAGGTGCTTGCTTACTCTAAGTGGATGTGGTGACTTAGTAGTATTTAAGCAAATCAGTTGCTTTGTGGGTTTTCAGTTACCCACCGCTGATTGGACGTATTCTAGCAACAATGATGTAATTGCCAATGTTCCATCAAGAAGCTCTGGGTCCCTGGTGCTATGTCACTGGAAGTTATGTGTTGACTTCCTGAAAGATGCTCAGAGGTGCATGTGTGATGGTTGCTCTGAGAAGTGCATTCTGCTGGACACTTGCTCATATAATGAAAGCCTACCAGTTCCCCTGTGGGCCTCTCCAAAAGGACAGGTGCGCTTGGCTTTGTCTTCTAGGCTAGAAGAGTGCAACTGGCCCATGATTTCCCTTGAGACATGTCTGCTTGCTGAGGGGATGTATAAGATACATTC